GGGACAGTACTGGCAGAGAGGAAGGGACCCATTTTCCCAGCCTTATTATCAGACTATTTGGAGCCCAGTGACTCAGCTAGGGCAGTCTGGCAGAAAATCAGAAAGGCAGACCCCCTCCCAGCAATCTCTCATATGCCCGACACTATTTTAAGTGGTGATGGCTGCTGGTGTTAGACCAGCAGTTCTCAACCTGTGGGTTGCGACCCCTTTGGGGGGGGGGTTCAAATGACCCTTTCACAGGGTCACCCAATTCATAATAGTAGCAAAATGACAGTTATGAAGTAGCAATGAAACTAATGTTATGGCTTAGGGATCGCTACAACATGAGGAACTGTATTAAAGGGTCGCGGCATTAGGAAGGCTGAGAACCACTGCTCTAAATGTTATCCTTGAGTAAATGCTACTCTTTTGGTCTCAAATGTTTGATTATTTTAAAGCGTGCGCACTTTACTAATGCTACTGTTCCCTTTGAGAACATCTATTGTTTGGCTGAAAACTGAGTCCCCGACAGTTTGTTATAGTACTCTGTCTTCTCTAGCTGCCTTGTGAAATTTTCTATTCAGATATTTGACTTTGTCATTTTTTCCTTTTTTTGGTTAGCTATTCTATATTCAAGAGCAAGTTTCAGAGTATCTTCCGACATTCATATTGGCCTTTTCTTTTCCTTTTTCATGACTTTTCCCTTTCTTCGTATATGATGTCCTTGGTTTCACTACTCATTTGTTAGTTTCTTGTACTGTTGTGGCTTGTCTATTGTGTCTGTTGTGGTAAGCTCTGCCACCAGTCGTTCAAACACCAGCAGGATCACCCAGCGGATCAGCAGAGCTTCTGGACTATGATGGAGTAGGAAGGAGGACCTGGTGATCAACGTCTTTCAACATTGGCCAGTGAAAGCATTGTTTTAGGTAGTGTAGGTACATTTTGAACAAGACATTGTCCTTCTGGAGCTGATACTTTTTAAGGGAGAGTCACTAAAAATGTGTGTATAATTTCAGGTACTTCCTAGTACTGTGAAGAAAAATCAAGCAGAATAAGGGAAGAGGACTAGATGGCAGGTGAGGATGGAGAGAAAAGGCATCTTTGAGGGGATGGCATTTGAGCAGACACCTAAATGAAATGAGAGTGGAGATGTGAGCAGATACCTAATAAACCCATAGTAAACCGGCTATCAAAAGATATAGTGTCTGGGGTCTTGAAGGCTTGAAAAGAAACAAGCGGCCATCTAGCTCAGAAGCAACAACGCCCACATGGAAGAAGCACACCAGCCTGTGTGATCACGAGGTGTCAAAGGGATCAGGAATCAGGCATCAAAGAACAAAAAATCTTATCATTGTAAATGAGGGTGAGTGCAGAGTGGAGACCCAAAGCCCATCTGTAGGCAACTGGACACCCCCTTACAGAAGGGTCTCTGGGAGGAGACAAGCCAGTCAGGGAACAGAGTAGCAATGATAAAACATACAACTTTCGTCTAGTTCTTAAATGCTTCCTCCCCCACACTATCATGATCCCAATTCTACCTTACAAATCTGGCTACACCAGAGGATGTACACTGGTACAGATAGCAACTGGAAACACAGGGAATCCAGGACAGATGATCCCTTCAGTGAATCCCCTTTGCTAGGAACAATCTAACCATACCCATCAGAATAACCTTCACCAGAATCAGTCCTCACCAGACATGTGGGAGGGCTTCCAGTATCCAAGTGTGCAGCAGTTATAACTGTACAAGGTATTGATGAATTTTCTGACTGGCTATGACGCTCAAGAATCTATTAAAAAAACAACAACTCATTGTCATTCTGACTTGTAGTGAGTCAGAATTGTCCCTGAAAGACTAAATCTTGACGGGCATAGTCAGCCTCATGTTTCCCCTGCAGAGTGTCTGGTGGCTTCAAACTGTTGGACTTGCTATGAGCAGCTGAAATGCGTAATCCACTGTGTCAGCTACCAGAGTGTCATGTGTTCACGAGGTTGCTCTTAATGGTACACTTTGACTGTTTTTTTCTTAATCATTTTATTGGGGCTTGTACAACTCTTATCACAATCCATGAATACATCCTCTTTGTCAAGCAAGTACATTTGTATATTTGTTGCCATCCTCATTCTCAAAACATTTTCTTTCTACTTGAGCCTTTGGTATCAGGTCCTCAGTTTTTCTCCTCCCTCCCCGCCTCTCCTCCCTCATGAACCATTGATAATTTATAAATTAGTATTATTTTGTACACTTTGACTATTTGACCTTGACTTATGCAAGGCTGGATTGGAAGATGCACTCAAGCCTGAGATGGACTCAAGGACGTTTCAACTCCATTTAGCAGCTAATGCACTCAGTGGTCTAAGTCAGTGTTTCATTGGTACAATGTATTCAATGGCAATGTTTGTATCTGGGATAGGACTTAAAGATGTTATGACACATGTAGAAGTACTTATATGTGCAAACTGCCTTAAATGACTCCATGGACTTCAAGTGACAAGATACTAAAAGAGCCATCCATGATAAGGAAAAATTGTACTCTGAAATAAGACAGCTCTTGCCATCCTCATTGCAGCTGAAGGGGAGTGTTTACTTGTACCATAGTAAAACCTGATTGTCTTGACAATCATGCGAAGATTATTCTCCTTGTTAAATATATGCAACCTGTATAGTTTTGTCTTAATGATCCTCTTCTCTCATTAAATTACAAGTAATTGGTTTTCCTCTTGGGGTTAATAGGGGGGAAATTGGCACTTTATTTTAGAATCTTCATATTCCTCAGTGTTCATATTGTTTTAATTGTAAAATATTGTTTTAGTTAAGTTCAATGAATTTTATAGACAAATTTCTGTTTCAGAACCATTTGATCCTCCACATGAAATTATGATACATAGTTTGTCCTCAAGAATAATGTGTTTATAACTAACCCTACTGCCTGGGGCCTCTCACTCAAGTTCTGATTCATTCCTTCAAGGACAAATGACTGATCTATATATTTCAAAGAATTGAAACCTGATATTGATCTAATTTATAATCAGTCATTAACCCCCATACTAAATTACCCTTTCCTTGATATTTTTAATTGGCTACCTACTAAAATTGGCTCTTCACTACTTGATTCAATTTTACAAACTGGATTAATTCTCTTAACCACTATATTCTAGGAACTGGTCATTTATGAAAATTTTAAATACCTAAGTACTCCTTGCTATATACATTAAAGGTCATTCATTTTGAAGAAATGTAAATTCTTTAGTGAAGAGCTGCATAGGCTGATGCCCTTCTGCCAAGTATTTCTACTGATCTGTTCATGTGTTCCCATACCTCCTCTTTAATAAAAACTCCAGAAGCAGAGGTCCAAGCTATGGCATGTTGCAAACATCAGTGACGGTGCCTGACTACACGATACTATACTGACCAGGGTCTTAAATGCAGTTACCAATGAACAGATGACTCCTGGCTTCCTTTCATGGGTAATATCTTCGGTCTTAAAAGCCTATTTGGAATAGATGGCCATCTAATTAACATGACAAAGTCTTTTCTCATCCTGAAGATTTGATCAGAAGTGGGAATTATGAAGGACTTCAAAAAGCAGGAGCTTCTGCCAAAGATGCAGGTTGGCTTCCATTTCTTTTTCTTCTGTTGATTGCTTTCTAGGAGCCGAGTTTCAGAAACCAGCTAGCCAATGTTGGCTCAGAAAGCCTGCAGGCACCCTCCTCCTTTCTATCCCCTTCTCCTCTCCACATACGCCCAGAAAGAGCATTCATTCAGGCTGGCCCTGGAAATATCCTTAACTTGTTAAATGAGTCGGACTTTGTAATTAGTACAATAATGTTTAAGGGGTTGTGCCACTGTCTTATTTGTTACAGCATATTTTTGTGTCAACCAGTCAATCTTTTTATTTTCTCCAATCAATCTTCTTATTGTAAGATCCTGGAGCCTCTGTATTTAAGCTCTGTGAAAATTTCCTTTAGTTGCAGTCCTTTGATGAATCATTATAAAGGGCTGATCCTGAGTAGTTCTGTTCATAACTTTCAGTAGAGGCTTGTTTGCTATTTGAGTACTTATATACATATGTATTCTGAAGGCATAATAATGGTTTATCCCTTATGTGATATGCGAGCATCTCAAAAGCATACAGAACAGTATTGATGGTTACATTTAACCCATGATTTTATTTACTTTCTCAGTCTTATAAAGTGCATGTACCATGACCATTCTCACTTTACAGATGAGGATACTGGCTTATAAAGGTTAAATAAGAACTTGAGAACATTGAAAGAAAAAAGTTTGAACTTGGCGACTGGACTGGTTTCTGAAATGAATGAATCAGAGCAAAGTTGTCTAGTTTGCATAAAATAGTAGTCACTCAAATCATTCACGAATACTAATGTAAATGTTCATCAAGTAGAAAGGACGGCAAATAGAATTTCTGTCCTCTTTAAAAACAAGAGTTCCTTACCCAGAGATCTGACCTTGTTGCCTTCACCACAACCCCTCAGGGTAATCACAGCAGGTGTTAGACAATCATTAATGAGCAGGTCTCTGACCGCTGGACTTCGCAGCTAGGAGCAACGGCGTGTCCTGCTCAGTACTCAGCGTTTCGGACAGTTATATAACTAATACCCAGAACCCTGGGCTTCCTCAGGACTGAACTCACGCGCCGTGCTTGGCGAACGGAAGCAGTGCTATGGAGAAGTGCATCCGTCAGTGAACTCCTAGCGCGGAGCCCAGTGCCCAAGGCGGAGGAAGCGGCCTCGGGTGCGACGTGAACGAGCACAAGGTGAGACCAGAGTTAGGGCCGCCCAGATGCCAGAGAGGGTGTGTCTTCGCAGCTCTGTGCCCACTGATTGGCCGGCGGGATGACGTAGGCGTTTACAGTCAATCATAAGGCACTGGGAGCGTGCGTCACCTTTGGGTAATTGGGGAGGGCAAAGGGGCGTGCCTGTAAGCGCCCGGGGCCCGCCGATTGGCCGGAAGGTGCCGGAGCCGGGCCGCGCGGCCTCAGGAGGGAGGGCCCCCGGCCTGGACCGGGAGGTGGCCGCCGGCTTCAGTGAGTTGGCCATGGCAGCTCGGACTGGTCAAAGAGCCCTGCGCAGGGTGGTCGCGGGATGTCCTCCGAAGTCGGCGGCATCAGGTGGAGCTCCGGTGCCGGCGCAGCGTCCTGCGCGGAACGTCAGGTAAAAAGCACCCGGGGCGGGGGAGGGGGGCGGCCGGCGGCGCCGCCAAGGTCTTTTCCCGCTGGATTTGCTGAGGAGGGAACCGGGGGTCCTTGCAGTGAAGCGCGGCTGGATCGTGGGCGTTTCCGCGTCTCTGGAGGGGCTGGGGCTCAGCGCTGGGCGTCAAAGCCGCCCCAAGGACGCGCGCATCGCGTCCTGGTCCCACTTCTCGCCGGCCGCCCGCCCGCCCGGTCTTCCTTGGTGTCTCCCTGCCCTCGCGAGAGGTGGCGAGTTCTCGGCGGGGAGGCTTGGGAAGCCGCTCCGCGTCCCGTGTCTGTGGGCCCTTCCGGTGTCCGCCCGGCTGCCTGTTGCTGCTGCTGCTGGAAAGTTTTAAGTTTGCGTGGAGGGCTTGCTGGCAGCTGGGTGTGAGTTTGTGGCCTGGCAGCGAGCCCCTTCTGTTCCTCTTTCGTGCCAGACGGTCAGATGTGCTCTCCCAGTTTCTTAGTGGAGTTCTTTGCCCTCGCCATCGGGTACTTGCAAAGCTTCATGAAGCTGACCTAGGAAGCCTGGAGTTGCCACCTCCCACCTCCCTTTAATGTAGAGGTTCTGTAACCTTGAACCGAATTGGCCTTCGGTTTTCCTGGTTGGTTCCTTTTGGGCGGTGGGGGGTGGGGATGCAGGTGGAGCACGAAGGGTTCTTCTTCCACCACTTAGTTTCTTTTTCTAATAACCTACTCTTTAACGTGACTTCAAGTTAGTGTTGAAAATCAATTCTGGTGTAAACACTATGAAGTGGGGAGGGAAGAACAGCCCAAATCCGAGTGATCCCAGGATATTTAATTCAATGAAGAATCTTGAGAAGTACCAACAACACAGTCAATTCTAATTATTTTTAGGCAAATAAGGGTTAAAACAAAACACTTTTATATCATTTATAGATCATTAAAAACAGCATGTAGCTATAGTAATAGAACAGCCCACTACTAGTATAACAACAAACTAATGGAAGAGAAAAACAACAGGCTTTAAAAATACTTCTACCTTTAAAATGAAGTTCATATAACAAATTATTTCAGTATTTCTTACTTTCATATATAAATAGTACATATTACATGGTACTCTTTAGGAAGTGAATTAATTCTAAGATCTCTTGGATAATAAGAAATAATGTCATAGAATCTTTGAAATTTTACTTGTGACATTCTAGATAATTAAGAATTCACACAACTATCTTTACCATATTTTCCTTAGTGCTCATTTCTTAAGCTGTTATTTCCAGTTGAATATACAGAAAACCAAGAATCTTAGCCTTGAAAAGGGCCAACAAGTTCATCCCTGTAATCCATATTTGATTCTTTTCCATTGCATTTTAACAAGTCTTGTAGCCTTTTTTTTCTTTTTTTAACTTTTTATTGTGAACTAGCCAAAGAGTTACAAAGCAGATCAGTTTTCCATCAGTGATTCATATGCACTCTCATGAAGTCTTGAGCTTAACTCTGCTTTTGTTTTTGCCTTTGGCAAAAGCCCATTGAAATTTTATATAAATTGTTTTTGTTAAAAAGTTTGATCTTGGGAATCAGCTCTCTGTTCTTCTAAACCGCAGGAATGACATTGCCTTCAGGAAACTACTTATGTATGAAGGATGTCATCCAGCTGCCCACTCCCTGTTTTAAATATCATTTGTGAAGATTTAATTTAATGAAATGTCTTCATTTTGCCCCAGAACTTTCCAATGGCTTCCCACTAAGTATAAATTCCAAGATGCTTTGTCCTGACCAGACTGTACTTAGCATGATGAGTCTCTACCTGTCTCTCCAACATTATCTCTTGGTGCTTCCCACCCCCATCCTTGCTGTACTTTTGCTATGTAGTCACTTATTTATCCATCCATTTGATTCTGGATCCTGCCAAGCTCTTTCCCTATTGCCTGGAATGCGCCCCCTCGCCCTTTAATCATTTAGCCACATATGTATATACAACGGGGCTTCAAAAATTTGAACTTCTGTTTTTTGATGATTTTATTGGGGGGATCATTTAGCCACACACATACATACAACAGGGCTTAAAAATTTTGAACTTTTTTTTTTGTAATCATTTTATTTGGGGCTCTTACAGCTCTTCTCACAATCCATACACACATCCATTGTGTCAAGTACATTTGTACATTTGTTGCCATTATCATTCTCAAAACATTTTCTTTCTACTTGAGCTCTTGGTATCAGTTCCTCATATTTTCCCTCCCTCCCTTGTGAACCACTGATAATTTATAAACTTTTTTTTTTTTCATGCCTTACACTGATCGCTGTCTCCCTTCACCCACTTTTCTGTTGCCCTTACCCCTCTAGGTATCGTTATTCTCATTATTGGTCCTGAGGGGTTTTATCTGTCCTGGATCCCCTGTGTTGCACGCTCTTTATCTGTACCAGTGTACATGCTCTGATCTAACTGGATTTATAGGTAGAATTGGGGTCATGATAGTGGGGGGTGGGGTGGGGAGGAAGCATTAAAGAACTAGAGGAAAGTTGTGTTTCATCGATGAAAAATGTGAACTACTTGAAGCCCTCTTCTACATGCATACATATTTCTCTTGGCCTGGATAGCTATTATTTACCAGCCAAACCATCACTTTAGAGGCTTCCTAGGCCATTCTGCCTAAATGAGATCCAAATATATCTTCCTGTTCTCATGCTGTATCCCAGGATTGTTTAGTTTAATCCCCAAGAGACATTGTGTTAGTCTGGGTTGACTAGAGAAACAAATTCAGAGACACTTGTATGTAAGAGAGAACTAAGAAAACAGCCCAGCCCAGTCCAGATCAAGTCCATAGGTCCAATATTAGTCCATATGTCCAATAGCATTCTATAATTTCTTCTTCAGACTCACACAGCACATGCAATGACACCGACTGCAGGAAGATCACAGGCTAGTGGGTGGACAGTCTTGTGGATCCAGTGGCAGTGGAAGCATCTTAACACTGGTGTGGGTCTCCACATGGCTCCTCCAGCTCCAGGACTCAGGCTCCATCAGTGTAACCCATGTGGCTTGTTAACAGGAATGTGAGCAGAGTGCCAGTGAGCTATTTATCTCCATCTTACCTCCACATGAGGTCAAGCTGCAACCTGATTGACAGGCTAGACTCTACTTCTTCCTCAAGTTGACAGATTATGTAACTGCCATAGACATAGTCAATTCATGTGGCCCCTCTAGCCATAATTCCTTATACAGTATAGTTCTAGACTCTATACCTATGGCTGTAATCCTATTTTAGAGGATGTTCTCTGCTAATCTACTGGTCAGGATTAAGGTAGAATTAAGTCCTGACCTTAGTATAAGGTATGGACCAAGTCACTCATTTGTTTCTTTGAGGGTTTTCTTTTGACTACTAGAAGGTATGACGTAAGGCACCATCCTTTATTTACATTGGGGGTATGGTTAGCCAAAAGACAAAACTACGCCTTCAACAAAACCATTCCTGTGTGTCTAAGAGCAATCCTGGCCAGGGAGAAGGCCTGGGACTATTGGAAGAGCATGTTCCAGATCTCTATCTGAAGTGATGGAAGCTGAGACAGAAGGCACAAGAGACTGCCTTGGAGATGATGGAATTAGGAGACAGAGCAACAGGGGGGCTTCCTGGTCCAGGAAGAAAGGCAAAGAGGCTGAGGGCCAGACAGTCTTGGCTGCTCCCTGAGGAGAGGTGATGTGTTGTAAATAAGTGTATGTTTGCTGATCCTGAGTCTTGATCATCTATTAACTTTTCTAATATACTCCTGCAAGGAGCCCTGGTGGTATAGTGAACTAGTCACCAAACTGCTAATCTCAAGGTCTGTGGTTTGAACCCACCAGCCATTCATTCCTTGGGGGAAAGATAAAATTTCTACTTATGTGAAGATTTAAAGTCTGGAAACCCAAAGGGGGCAGTTCTACTCTGTCCTATGGAGTTGGCCATAAGTTGGAATAAACCCTTGCATAGGCAGTGAATTATTTATTTTGGTTCTTCTCACCAAAGTCTAACTCCCACCAAGTGGCCTTTTCCTATAAGGGTCTGGTAAAAAGGTAGGGAAGATACTGCTAGGATTCACCTGTGAGTAACTGGGAACAGGATTCCTTGGAGTTCTATCTTGTGTATAAAATGAGCCCTCTGAGACGCAGGAAGAGGAATCTCATTATCAGCAAGAGCCAGGAGTGGACCATGTCCTCTGAACCCGAGATCCCTGCTCAGTGAACCTCCTGGACCCAGAAGACAGCTATACTATTAGAGCGAAGCAGCAGAACCAGGACAGAGCATGGAACAAGTGGTTTGACTTCTCAACCCATGGAACAAGTAAAGCTGAGTGATTTTGTGCAGGAGGCTGGCTGGTGGAGTGGGGTGCCTCTGTGCACTTAATTGGGGAAGCTGGGCTTGCTTACCCACGAAAGTAGAGCTCCCTCAGGCTGAGGCTTGTTGGAGCGGGTGTCTCGGGGAACTTAATTTAGGTGGCTGGGTTTGCTTACTTTTAGAGCTTGAGCTGAACGCCTTCAGGTTGAAGCTTACTGGGGAATGATATTCCCATTTGGGCATTTGCTTGCAGACCTGAAAGAACTTTGTAACAACATTAACAACGGCATCCTAAGCATTTCTTGCTTGCATTACTATCTGTCAACTTCCTTAATAATAAACCCTTTAATCATGAATTGTGCCTATGAAGTTGTGTGGCCATTGCAATGGATATTTGAACCTAGAGAGGTAAAATAGCATGGATTAAGAAAACACAATCCCCTTAATTGTATTGTCTGAGCTCTTTGTGGCCATTGTAATGACTTACTGAACCCAGCATAGAAGGAGAGTGCTGTGGGAGGAATGGCTGGTATCATAATAGGGTAAAGAAGGATGGAGGGGAGAGTCATGTCTGACACCTCTCTACCTTATAGCAAGAGAGATGGTGGCCCCCCACATCGTTTACTACACCACAGCTAGAATGAGTTAGGGACCCTCATGTCAGTTTGGACTCACAGTGACCACATGTACAACAGAACAAAGCACTACCTGGTCCTACACCATCTTCACAGTTGTATTGGAGCTCATTGCTGCAGCCACTGTCTCCCCAAAGGCCTGCTCATTTTTGCTGACTCTCCACTCCTGTTAAATGTCAGATTTTACACTATTATATTCCTAGTACAGGCTGCAACTGGATTTATACTCAGCAACTAACTAAAGGTGGGCCAGCCTTACCCACTTAGCAGCACTGTGAAAGAAAGGCTTGTTAGTCTGCTTCTGCAAAATATTACAGCCAAGAAAATCCTGTGGAGCAGTCGTGTTCTATAGTACAGAGTCAGTCAGTTGGAACAGGTTTTTATATTCCTAATGTCTGCTACAGTCAGACACACAGTAGCTCAATAACTAGGTGAATTAATGAATTAATTGGAGTATAAAGTAACTTCAAGAATTTTATAAGGGAAAAAGGTAAACCAAACTCATCGTTATCAAGTTGATTCTGATTCATAATGACCTTGTAGACAGTCTTTAAGATGATAAACCTTTATAGAAGTAGACAGCCTCAGTTTTTATCCACATAAACGGGAAAGTCTAATATTTAGGGAGTAAAAATATTTTGGGCATCTGTTCTCAAATACTCTAAACAACTGACTTTATAACTATCCAGATGCGTATTTTGACATGTACACACCCACAACATCTATATGGAAATGGAAATTAGAAAATTAAAGAGAATGGTGCAACAGTTTCTAGCGGGGCCTCCCTTCTCCAGTCTGAAAGCAGTATCTAATTTCAAGTTGTCTTAGTGTGGATCAAGAACTGCAATACTCCCCAAGCCTATGGCACTTAGGGCTAAACAATAGACTTATTATAAGGTGAGCACAGTCACCAGCGATGTTGGCATCCCTTGGAACAAACAACCAGATCAAAGAGCAGCATTTGACGAGGGATGGAGCTTAAGCCAGGAAGGGATAGGATAAAGGAGCAAATGGAAACAAACATATGGAGGAAGTGGTGTTAACATTGTACAGATTGCAAGCATTATCACATATCAAAATGTGTATGAGTTGTTGAAAACCAATTTTCTCTGTACACTTTAAACAAATCACAATAAAAAGGTTTTATTAGTTTAATTAAGAAAGGAACCCTTAAAAAATTTTTTGAACACATTGAAAAAAGAAAGAAAGAAAATCCTTTCATAGAATTCTCAGCTTCCATGTGTGAGACCCATTTGATTCCCAACACAGTCACTGATGGTCTGAGCAGACTTCAGCAGAACTTCCGACTAAGGCAGACTAGAAAAAGACCTAGCAGTGTAGGGTTGGGCCAGTGAAAACTCAAAGATTCATAGTGGTCAGATACTTGGTGCGTTGAGTGAGTCACTGGGAGCTGAGGACCAACTTGACAACATTGCCTCATCTGGGAACATAACCCGAGTAGGAAAGATGAGATGAGAAATAGATGAATATTCTAGCAATCTTATGGCAAGAGTATTGTAACACATGGCTGCAGACTACCAAGCTAACTTTTTGGAAGAGAGATCTGTGCCAGAAGCTTCTAACCTATATGCATATATAGATATTTAAGGAATACTGTACATGTATAAAGACTTAGAGAATGTAATGTGTATTTTATAGTTTTTATAATTTGTGTTTCTGTGTTTGCTTTTAATTTTCAAAATTTACTCTAAAGCCAGTAATTTTTTTCTTTTAGATATTTAGCTTCCTGTGGTATATTGATGAGCAGAACTCTCCCACTACATACCTCAGCTGTGCCTAAGGAGATCCATGCAAGAACTTTCATCAGAATTACGGCACCTTTAATCAACAAGAGAAAAGAGTATTCTGAGAGGAGAATAATAGGGTCTGTATGTAATAATAGCTCTGAAAGTGAGCCCGTACAGGTTTCTGCCTCAGGATTCTCTTCTTACAGACTCACCTCGATTTTTCTCAGGCTGGACTTCAGTAGCCCTGGCTGTGTTGTGACTGTTTGTTGAAAGAATATATGTATGGTAATTTTATAGGCTATAGATGCAAATCTTGATATATAAAGGAAATCATTTGTTTTAACTCTTTATGATCTGCATTTTGTACATTGTTCTTTCCTAAAATGACAACGGAACTGGTACATTGAGGTAAATATGTTTACATAGCTCTCACATGAGTACAGAGAAAAATACATGTACACCTACTGAGAGGTTCTGACTATTCAGAGCAGGGGTCAGCGTAGTTTTTCCTGTAAAGAGTCAGGTAATAACTATGTTCCACTTTGTAGTCTTTTAAAATTACTCAGTGTTGTTGGTGTATCTCCAAAGCAGGCACCCACAGTGCTAAGCATGGGCTTGGCTGTGTTCTAATAAAACTTTACTTAGAGAAACAGAGGTAAGCCCAATTTGGCCCCTGTTACAGAGGTTTATATAGGAGCCCTGGTGCTGTCAGGGCTATGTGTTGGACTGCAATCTGCATAGTCAGCAGTTCAAAACCCTCAGCATCTCCATGGGAGAAACACTGGACTTTCTACTCCCATAAACAGTTACAGTCTCGGAAACCCAGCAGGGTGCTGTGAGTCAGCATTGACTCGAGGGCAGTGAAGAGGGATACATAGTGAGGACATTGCAGTGTGTTGACATCTAGCTACAACCCAACCCCCCCCATATGAGAATTTCTGGAATGGGGTCTTCATTCCCAAGAGATCATTTACGTGTTACACGAAGCCATGTGCAAGTGCACTTCCTTCATTTTAATCACTTGCTTTTCGCCCTCTGATTTTTCTGTAGTAAAGGCCTTTTAGCAAATTCATAGCTCTTATCATATTCCCTTTCCTAAAAGTTCCTGGGTGGTGCAAATGATTAGGCACCCAACTGCTGCTCCAAAAGTTGGCAGTTCAAACCCACATAGAAGTACCTCAGAAGAAAGGCCTGGCAGTGTACTTCCAAAAGATCACGCCTTGAAAACTCTGTGCAGTCAGTTTTGCTCTACAACACATAGGGTTGCCATGTATCGGATTCAGCTTTTTAGTCACTGTATTAGTTAAGGTAATGATAGTTACCATATCCAAATAAAACCCCAAAGCTTGTTTCTTTCTCAACTCTTCGAATTATGTAATTTAGGTGCCCAGGCTTTATCCAACTCATGACTCTAATTCCCTAATCTTCAGAGTTGGTTAACAAAAGACGGCCTACTACTTAAAAGTCTGCACATGAGGTGCCTCACTTCCACTCATGTATTGCCAGTAACTCATGATGCAAGGCTGCTCCTCCTACTAGATGCCCTTGAGCTGGTTCCCCTCAATGCAAGAGAATGAAACACTGCCCTGTCCTGGGCCTTCCTCACAGTCATTGCTGCAGCTGTCACTTTATCTTGTTGAGGGTCTTCCCTCAAAAATGAAAGCTTTTGTTGACCCTCTGCTTTACCAAGCATGATGTCCTTTCCCAGGGACTGGTCCCTAATTGTAGCACCTTGATGGGCAAGTACCGTAACAGCAATGGGATAAAGGAAACGAATCTTTGGATAGGTAGCCATCTTTGCCAAAGCTGGTAGCTTACAAAAGAGAAATAGTAATCTAAAGCTACATTGTGAATTTGTCTACTTCACTTTTGAATTTCTAGTAATACCCACCTTTCATTGTCTACCTGCCTTTGACAGGCACTTCTGGGTGCTTTGTGGTTACTTCTTTCAACCCTCATAATAGTCATGTGAGATAGGTATATGAAATGAAGAATTATAGATATGAAGAAACTGAAGCTTAGAAAGTTGATGTACATTAAGTGTCATAGCTTCAAAGCTTTTTTTCCCCCATACTATAGTTAACTTGGCTTCCTTATTCATCTCATGCAAAAATTCTTTTTATTGCAAATTGGTCTTTTTTCCCCCTTTCTCCCATTTGGCTTAAACACAGATAATCATAATTCTTAGCAATTATTAAGTGCTTATTGAGATTATATGCCGTGCAGAAACTATTTTACTTAACAATGAAAACAGCCCTGTGAAGGTATTTTTATAATTATGGCTAAAAAAAAAAATTGGGAGGTTAAACAACCTATTTAGCAGTCACATAACTTCTATGTTTTTGAGTTTTTATTTGAATACAGTCCTTTCTGACCTACAGTGTTTTTACCCTTTATCATGCCACACTACTTTTTTTAGTCTTTATAGACTTTTAAAAATTATCAATCATTTTATTGGGGGGGCTCTTACATATCTTATAACAATCCATAATTCAATTGTATTAAGCACACTTGTACATACATTGCCTTCATCATTTCGAAAATGTTTTCTTTCTATTTGAGCCCTTGGTATCAGCTCCTCTTTTTTCCCCTCCCTCCCTCACCTTATAGACAACTTTTATGGCAATTAATATCTGTGCTCTGATATAGTTACATTGGCTAATACTTCTAGAATAATGCTCATTATCAGTGATAAAACCTAGCATTTATACATCATTTTTCACTCTTCTGAGAAAAGAGTATTTTACCATGGATAGAGGGGATTATATAGCTTTTCTTCTCAGCCAATTAATAAGGTTATGATAATAGAAGTCTCAATATTAAACTACCCATTGCCATCATCAGTTGCTTTCTAATCAAGTCCTATTTACAACTTGAATTGCCTATCATTAAAGGATCAGCATTTGATTATTATAGTTTTTTAATTTTTAAATAGATTGCTAGAGTCTCTATGATGATATTTTGAATTTGGGTCTGTCTGTATGAAGTTGCAGATTGTTTTTTTTATAAAGAAGGCTGTTGAGATTTTGGTCAAGATTTCATTGCGCTATACGTTGCTTTGGATAGTATTGACATCTTAATGACACTAAGTCTTCCACTTCATGCACATGGAAGTCCGTCCTTATTATGCAGAACTGTAGACCCATTATTGCAAGACCTTTCCATTTTTTTGAGAAGCCATAAATCCAGATGTTTGTGTAGACTCTCCATTTTTAAATGTTGGCAACGAATTGAAAATTTGAAAATTACACATGCAGGCAAATCTAGTCTGTGTGCTGCCAGATTATGCACTCCACTTTCTGTATAATTAGTTCCCTTTTTCCCATGTTGCTTTGGAAGGCACTCATTTCAGAGTGTGGCTCGACACATTTCTCCAGTGCTCCACACTAAGTAAGTTTTATTCGTACACATTTAAAGTTGCTCACTGGTCACTGATGCCACTGACACCATTCTCTCTTTCTCTCTCCAAGGTATTCTATGCAGGAAATGTATGATGTAGTATCAAGAGTTGAACATTACAAGCATTTTGTTCCTTGGTGCAAAAAGTCAATTATCATATCAAAGAGATCTGGATATTGTAAAGCACAGTTAGAAATTGGGTTTCCACCTGTGCTGGAGCGATATACATCGGTAGTCACCTTGGTGAAACCACACTTGGTGAAGGTAATAGTATTGTTTGTTTTGTTGTTTTAAATATTCCTAAAATGTTGGTTGTATGACATTTTATACGTGTTAATGTGATAGCTTGAAAAGATTTGTTTAAACTTATAGAAGAGGTGGTGGTGATAAAGTTCAAACCATTTCTTATATCTCTTACTGCTATTAGTTTATGCAATATTAGCATTATTCTTTCCAAAAAGGAATTTGACTAGAACACAGAATTGCTAAACTTTTTTTCCCTTTTTTTTTTTCTTTTCTTTTTTTCCCTTTTTGTGGAAGACTTCTGACCCACAGAAATGATCAGTTCTATCACACAAGTGAAAAATGTTTTAGTTATTGTAATACAATATTTCACTAGAAAAAATACTAAGTGCATTACTATTAGAGGGAAATTAAAACATTGCTTAATAGATAAATCTTTGGAAAGGTGAAAGCAGTGACAAAATGAAGAAATCTAGACAAGATATCCATGTGGAAAGCATTAACATGGTCACTGGCCTGCCAGGTTCGAGGTACTATGAATGCCAAGTAACATGATATGTGCTATGCATCGTATTCTCTTATCCTTGTTAGAACAAGATACTCACGTACAAAGGTAGTAAAGATACTCATACTTACACAAAAAGTCATAATTTCATAGACAATAATACCCATTCCTTTCGCATTCCTACAGTTGGGTAGTGGTAGAGGACTTTTATATACACAAGACTAAAAGGTGACCTCATTTCCTGGAAACTGACCACAACTCAATACCCTGTCAGCTCTTGGTTATGCCGAAAGTAGTACATTTCTCACAACAGGCGTATACTGTCCAGTTACACTTAGATTTGTAGTCTGCCCTATTCTTACTTCCCAAACTCGAAATCCACTTCAAATATTAAAACTGCCTTCTGCTGTTTGCTCTGTAGTTTTGGAGAGTTTACCTACTACACACTGCACTGTCTCTCAGATAGCAAGTATTTATTGAGCCTTTATTGGAGTTTCACTTAAATTACCTATGAAACCATCACAAAAATTCTTTGAGGTTCAAGCATTATTTTTTTCACCTTGTAGTTGAACAAACAAAAGCTTATTAAGGTTCATTAAGGTACCTAAATTCATATTGCTAATGATAGAGCCAAGTCTCCAGCTCAACCAGTGTTCTAATCTCTAACTTCAATGTCTTATCAAGCTCTTTACATCTTAGTAGACTATTCTGCTTTTATCTAGAACTCTGAAAATCTCATCCTCTCACACTCATCCCACCCCAAACTGTCTGCCTGTTCTGGTTTCCCAGCACATGAGGATGGATGAAGTCAAATTCTGTAACATTGTACACAGACCATGCACAAGAGGACTTCAAAAAGTTTGTGGAAACATAATGGATTGGATGCCTAGTGGGGTTTAATCAAGGGCAATGTAGCAGCGAGGAATTGCTAAACCCAAACGAAGGCCAAACATGATGGTGGGACAAGAGGAAAGTAAAAGGAAATAGAAGAAAGAACCAGGAGGCAAAGGACATTGATAGATGTCTAAATACAGGCATGTACATATGTAAATATGTATATTTAACGAGGGGAATGAACTATATACTCATATCTATATGTTAAGAATTCAGGTTGCAAATGGACACTGGGCCTCAACTCAAGTATTCACTTGATGCAAAAACACTTTGTTCTAACAATACGCGTTCTGTGATGCTCACCCTCCCAACAAGATCGTTGAAGACAAAATGTGTGCATAAGCAAATGTGGTGAAGAAAGCTGATGGTGCCTGGCTATCAAAAGATATAGCGTCTGGGATCTTAAAGGCTTGAAGATAAACATACAACCATTTAGCTCAGAAGCAAGGAAGCTCACATGGAAGAAGCACACCAGCCTGTGTGACCACAAGGTGTTGATAGGATCAGGTATCAGGCATCTAAGACCCAGAACAAAATCTTAAACAATGTGAATTGGGGGAGAGCCATGGAGTGGAGACTCAGTGCCCATCTGTAGACAATTCGACATCTCCTTACAGAGGGATCACAGGGAAGAGATAAGCCAGTCAGGGTGCATTATAGAATGATGAAACACACAACTTTCCTCTAGTTCTTGGGTGCTTCAGATTAGACCAGAACATGCACACTGCTACAGATAAGACCCCGCAACACAGGGAATCCAGGATAGATAAACCCATCAGGGCCAACAGTGAGAGTAGAGATTCCAGGAGGGGTGGGAAATAATGGAAAAGTGGGTGAGGGGCAATGGAGGATGATGTTAAGATATAAAAATAAGCTATAATTTATCAAGGGTTTGTGAGGGAGGGGAGGGGGAAGAAATGGGGAGCTGATATCGGGCTCAAGTGGGATGAGAATGCTTTGAAAGTAATGATGGCATATGTGCAAATGTGCTTGACACACTGGATGAATGTATGGATTGTGATGATGATAAGAGATCTAAGAGTCCCCAATAAAAGTAAAAAACAAACAAAACCATAATGGAATTAAGAGAAATTAAACAAGCAAGCTGGAAAGCAAAGATGTGGAAAGAAAGCTCTCAAGCCACATGAAGATCGTTCAGAAGCAGCAGCTCAAAGAAGAAAGGACCTTCCTCCAGAGCCAACAGAGGCTGACAGTCTCCCCTAGAGCAGCAGTTCTCAACCTTCCTCATGCCACAACTCTTATACAGTTCCTCATGGTGTCGTGACCCCCCAATCATAACATTATTTTCATTGCTACTTCATAACTGTAATTTTGCTACTGTTATGAATCGGGCGACCTCTGTGAAAGGGTTGTTGGACCCCCCAAAGGGATCGCGACCCACAGGTTGAAAACCGCTGCTCTAGAGCCAACACAGGGTCCTAGTGGCGTACGGGGTTACACAAGGAGCTGCTAACCACAGGTCAGAAGCTTGAAACCAGCAGCCACTTCTGAGAAGATGAGGCTTTTTGCTTCTGTAAAGAGATGGACTCAAGATACATACTGTACTAACCCTGCCTCATAACATAACAAAGACAACCCCTTCCCCAATGGGATTCTAAACAGGTATAGAGGGTAGCATATATAACATACATTTTGGGGAAATAATCTAATGGATGGTACTGTATAAGCTCTGATTTCAGTTGTCCCCGGGTTCAGGTTCTGAAATACCTAACTTGCATATTTGCCATATAATAAAAATCGTTATGACTGACAGGAAGTCAGAAATTATCTGAAATATTTTCTCTTTTTCTTAGGACCTTGTTTTTTAACGGTTTTATTAGACTTCATTCACATGTCATACAATTCAGTCAATTATCACCATATTCAATTCTAGAACATACTCTTCCTTATTCTCTTTGTTGTTGTTTTTTAACTGTGGCAAACTATACACAACAAAACATTCTCCAATTCCACTTTTTTTTTTAATCATTTTATTAGGGGCTCATACAACTCGTATCACAATCCATATATACATCAATTGTGTAAAGCACATGTGTATATTCATTGCCTTCATCATTCTCAAAACATTTGCTCTCCACTCAAGCCCCTGGTATCAGCTCCTCATTTTCCCCCTCCCTTCCTAATTCCACAACTTCTACATGTATAATTCAGTGCTACTGATTATACTCATTATACTGTTATACGACCATTATTGATATTTTTCCAAATCATTCCACCACCATTAACATAAAACTCAATGCCCCCTAAGCAACAATTCTCTGTCTTTCACTGTGGTAACCACTTGTCCAATTTGGTTTCTCTTTTTTTTAGTGGTTTTCACGTAACATACACTTGCATAGTAAATCACTTTTAGAAAATGTATATACATCTTCACAATCAGTTCTAGTGCTTCCTTCCCCGAAATCTGATATTTTCTGTATATTGGCTGTCCAAAATGTGCCTGTAATTTAATGCTTCAGTAATTCTGGCAAATGCTAATGTGTAATGACTAGAAGCCCGGAGATTTTTTAGCATATTTAATAGAAGCAATATTCACTATTAATTTAATCCTTAGTTAATCTTACTGCATGGTTCACAATGTGAACATGAGAATGGGTCAGTTTATCCAGAACAATCATTAGGCTATCATCTTACAGCTTCTATTGTGTTCACTATTTCCTGTTAGGTATGAAGCCTTTGACAGTATTACCCCGGTCAGAGCATGCTATTAAAAACCTGTGGGTCTTCATGCTAGATTACTCAGTACTGCCACACTTTGCATAGTTGTGGTTAGAGGAGGGTGCCGTACCAAATTGAGTATTGCACATCTTTAGAAACAGTTTCCTGTAAGCAATTTATATATATGTATATAAAACCAAACTCACTGCCATCAAGTCAATGCTGACTCACAGTGACCTGCTGTGAGTTTCCAAGACTAACTGTTTACAGGAGTAGAAAGCCTGGTTTTTTTCCTGCAGAGCTGCTGGTGGTTTTCAACACTGCCGACTATGCAGATGGCAGCCCAATGAGTGGGGTGTGTGTGTGTGTGTGTGTGTGTGTGTGTG